CCAAGCTACTAGCGATGGCCTCCAACCTAGAAACGATGGCCTCCAAGCTACTAGCGATGGCCTCCAACCTACTAGCGGCTTAAGCTGGAAAGAGGAACATGGAGGAAGACATAGATTGAGCACGGATGCAATTTCAGGTTGGGGCCAGTATGAGCTGTGGGGAGGCTTACAAGGTTCAGCAGCCTGTGATGGCGTGAACACGTGGAAACAGACTACCGTCAGAGAGAGATTGTAAACTGCAGCATGGCAAATTAAGAAAAATTGAGATCATTGTGTGAACATAACTGCCTTTGGGGAAGAAGGTGAACGATGCACCGTGATTTTGTCGTGCCCATTCCTGAGGCGGCGACACCGGAGCGGAGAGCTGATCGCAGCCTTTCGCTGCGGCCACAGCTTGTGCATGCTTATGCTGCATTATGCCTTCGTGCGCTTTGCACCCTGTGGCAGCAAACAGATGACACGGTAGATAGTCATAGACAATGGTTTCCAAAGAGTGTCAAACATTTTGAAGCATTCTTCTGAAGAAACCTTTGACAAGGATCCAACCCAACCACCAACAGGTCTATAGGGTCTACTGATGCTGCCCTCATTGCCTCGCACAACAAGATCAATGAGCAAGTACGCGTTTGACGCGTCTATATTTACCAGGCTACCGCCTGCAGCCGCCGACCCCTAAGGGATAGAACCTGAGCGCTAGCCTTGCTCTATGTTAGCCTTAGCCTTAGCCTTAGCCTTAAGAGTGCAGACCCAACCCAGCAGCACCAAAGCAGGTACCCCAAAAGTCGACTTTGTCCAAGAATTTAGACCCAACCCTTCACCACCAAAGCAGGTACCCAAGAAGTCCCGTAATGCTGAACCCTCGTCCCCATAAATTGCCCAAGAATTTAAACCCAACCCAGCACCACCAAAGCAGGTACCCAAAAAGTCGCCGATTCACCCTCGGACGTCAGCTCTTGCATGAACCCCGTGACGCGTTGGGTTCTGCGGCCTGTGGGGCCGCAGGGCGCTGCCCATGGTCTAGGGTACATTCAAGTGCCACAAGCGTCGGCGCCCGGACTTGTGCTGAATCGATCGATTTCTCCCGGCGACCCAACCCATTACCACCAAAGCAGGTACCCAAAAAGTCGACTTTTTGGGTACCTCCCAGATGTACCATCGGACGTCATCGCTTCGCCGAGGACCGCTCGCAGGCCAAGCTGCAAAAACAGAAAACGTGACAAAATCTACGAAAAAGCAAGGGCATTGGCCGGGACCACGCCGCGACCAGCCCGGGATTCGAGCCCAGGACCATTTTGGACCGTGCTTATTTTCCCGCGCGGGTCGAGAGGGTGCCCCAAGATGTAAATCAATTGGGATGGCAGAATCTTGGACAATCCACGTCACAATCAGCGAAATTTCCTGGAGAATTTTCGTCACTGCAACAAGGGTCCGGAGGGGTAGGGGAGGTAAGGTCTAGGTCTAAGGCTAAGGACTAAGGCTAAGGCTAAGGCTTAAGGCTAAGGCTAACATCGACAGTCACGCCTCACCCCACGGTGTGGGGTCGGCGGATTAAACGATCAGGTATTCGTACCTGATGTTGGACAACAGCTGAGCGATCAAACCTCTCGCACATAGCATCAATTGAAAGCACGCACTCACGGGTTGGCATCCATGTGTTTGTTTACATTGTTTGTGTGAAGGTAAACGATGTTTTCAAGTGGTTGGGGGTTTGAAGAGAAGGTGCAGCACAAACTTCCTCCAACTCCGCACCTCCCGCCGGGTCTTGAGGCTCGGAACCGCCTTCCCAGGAGTTCTTGGCCTTCACCCCGTTGGGGCGCCCAAGGTCCGACGTACCCAACCGGCGTGACCGGTCTGGAGTCAGTTGGTGCTTGCTTGAGTTCGTGACTCCCATCTGTAGGCTCAAACAATTTTGCACTTTGGCTGCGAGTCATCCAGAAGATTGAGGAAAAGAAAGCCGCTGGAAACGCCTAGCTAGCCCTTCTTGACACATCAAAAAGAAAGAAACTCTTGACGAACCCATGCATGTTGATAGCTTGGCATGGCTTGAGCATATCTCACCACACATCGCACTAGATGGCACTAGATGTCACACACCGTCTCATAGGTTTGAAAGGTACCGCTGTGATTGACATCTCTTGAAGCAAGTCTCCCTGCAGTCCTGTTTCTCCGCAATGGCTGTGACAACATTAGCCTTGGCGGGGCCAAACGCTCGCAATCCTGGAGATTGGCCCTGTCAGTTCTGCAAAAAGGTGCAATTTGGCCGTCACACAGACGGCAAGAAGCGGGTCGATTAATATACTATTTCCATAGAAAAGAGATGCCAGCTTGTCGGCAGAATACTGCACAATTGCTGATTCAAAGCCCGCGATTGATATTTCCAAGGCGACTTGACCTGCAAAGATTGCGGGGCGCGAAGGCCCGTTGCTTGTACCTACGGAACCCCGCTGCCGGCGGCCGAAGAGAATCCACTTCAATCCCCGACAGGACGCCGACAGGATGGTTTCAATCGCTTTCGCGAGAACCTGTTGAATTTCAGCCGTTTTGCAGGACAGCCTGGGGATTGGACGTGCCCCAAGTGCAAGACCACCTGTTTTGCCCGGAATCCGGTTTGTGGCAGGCACGTAGAAACATCGCGCATGGTGGCCATGTTGGGTTCGAACATTTATCATCTACAACTCAAACTGAAACAAGGTTTGCTTCAAGTATGGCATGTCAATTCAGCTCAGAGCTGTCGTGTGCTGTGACCATGCGACGCTTGATGCCACCATGCGACGTCTTCACCGTGTTTCAGGTGCAACTGTCCAAAGCCTGAGACGGTTGAAGAGTACAACCTTCTGGCACAGGCAGCTGTCGGATTATTGCCAGGCGCGAACACCGAGATTCTCGCTCTGAACCGAGACTTTTTGTTGGTGATTGGTCAGTAGCGATGCCCTTTGTTCCCAGTAGCTTCTTGTTATTTAATGTTACTAGTAGTAGTGCCAGGAGCTACTAGTAATTAGCGTCCTTGCTCCCAAGCCTGTCTCACTTGGAAGGTCACCGGGGCAGTGCCCGGGGCTATGTGCCGCCCACTGTCGAACTCAAAGCAGATTCGTCTTCACCTTGGGCTAGACAATGGACTGCAGGCCCTGTGAACGGTGTCTTGGACCTTGAATGAAACACACTCGGAGGGCTCTTTGTGCTGCATCAAGCACCGTTCTTTTCAACGTTACAAAGCCCGTGTTTGTGACTTGGGGTTATCTGAGGTATGTTTATTGGCGAGACGAACTTGCCGGTTTCTGGGCTTCAATTGGCGTCACATATGACGTCACAGTCACAGGTGGCAAAGGTATGCCGAGGTGGCTATTGCATTGAGATGCGATATGAGGGAAGGGTAGCGGGAAGGGTATGGATGGTCATGGATGTGTTGGCCGCAGCTCGAGCACGGCCGCCACCGACTCAGGGATGGCTCACTGGCGCGGCCGCCACCGACCGAAACGACAAGGACTCCTCCGAATCAGAGAGTGCCAAGGTGGGACATTGTGCTCGCAAGACTGTCGCAAGCGGCTCCCCCCGAAAAAGACGATACACCTGACAGATCCTGACAGCCTGGCGTAAGGCCAAGAAAAGGAAACTCGAGGCCTTGGCATGCCTTGTTGTCATGATTTTTGCCATGCCTTGTGATATCAAATTGAGATCCTGCTCGACGGAGGCGCAAGGAAAGGCGGTTGCCAAAGCAGAAGCCAAGAAACGCCCAAAGATTAAAAAGAAATATTCAGGCTTGTCAAAAGAAGATGCTAGATCAAGCTATAAAACATGGAGAGGGAGAAGACATGGACAAACACGTGGGGATTTGGGGACATGGTTTTCCAAAGCGCAGTTCGAAGCTTTGGACGGCTCCCCACTCTTGACAGCAGAAGCTAAGAGCGACGGCCTCCAACTTAGGAAATTGCGAAGAAGAAGGCTGAGGAGGAGGAGGAAAAGCGGCGGCAGATGCGTGAGCGTCGCAAGGATCGAGTGATCAGAGTAGACTGAGATAGACTGGGAGACTGTCAGTGACCTGACCAACTCGTCACTTGGACCAATTGGGTGTGCCAGTGCATGATGTCTCAAGATGTGGCAACTTGACTTTGTAGGTTTCCACGTTGAAAGTTCGCCGCAAGCAGTTGGACTAAGAAGCTACGAACGGGGCTCCTGGCATCGCTACTAGGAGCAAGGACGCTACTAGGAGCTTTTTGGACTGTTTGTTAGGTGACCTGCCGATGGCATCCATGGATCGCCTGCCAACGTACCACTGATGCAAGTTTTGCGCCTTGGGAACACCGTCAGATGTGAACGCCCGGCCCATTGCCCCTTGCAATGCGCCACAAAGATGAACGGTTTTCCTGAACCGCCTTCTTCTTTGAATGCTCTTGGTGCCTTGCAAACGTAGATTGACACCACCTGGAGGGTAGAGTTGTGATATACGGACTGGATGGTGCATATTTGTTTGAGGTCCATAGCAGGCTTGATAACCCTTTGACCTATTATATATTCTTATTGATGATAAATCTAGAAGCTTTGTTCACGCAAATTTCATGGCACAGAAACACTGGCATAATCTTAGGGCTTTGCCACTCGGCGAAGTGCAGCTGGAAACCAGCTGGCCTGGAGAGAAGCTGAGACATCCTGTCACCTCAAAAACGCCCTGTAATGCATTTCGAGACCAGACAGGTATTTATTCTAGAGACTGTTGCAAGCAGCCTTAGCCTTTTTGAGGGAGCATCGAGCGGGTAGGTGGTAGCATAGGCTTTTCCCAAAGCGCCCCATAGCTTGGAGTGTCGCATGACCCCAGTCAAGTTCTTTGGGGTTATAATCACGTTTGTTTCATACAAACGTGATATTTTCGTGATATTAGGGAGGCCATCGCTTAGTAGGTTGGAGGCCATTGCTATTAGGTTGTGTCATACCAACGTTTCCTTAGGTTTCGTGATATTTTTGTCTCGGCTTGGAAAGCACTCCAGAATTCAGAACTCAGTGCACTTGAGTGCACGCGTCCATTTGTCGAAAAAGCTGCTCAATGCATGGTGAGACTCTTGGTGAGACAGGAGGTAAGAGAAAGCCAAGCAGATCAAAACAGCATTACTTGATATTCCTGGGAGATGTGAGAAACTAGAATAAACTAGATGTGGGCAGTCTGTAGTAGCAGAGCTTCCATTCTTGGATTTGGAGTGAGGCTTAGTAAGGGCTTCAGTCAAAGACCTGAGGTGAGGGTAAAGCGGTGACGTCACACAGTATGTAAAAGAGATAGTAAAAAATATATAGACGCATTCTTTATAGTGCTTAGTTCCAAGACTTGGGTTAAGGAAAACAGGTGAGGCGTACTCAGACAGACTTTTGGTCTTATGGAGAAACGACCTCCAGGATAAGTGCTATTTTTGTTTTTTTCTTTTTCTCTTTCTGGCATTGTGAGTTGTTTGGTTTGCTTTTGGTACTGGGGGGGCGGGCTCGTCCGAGGAGTAGGGCGTGCCGAGGCCGGATCTCGGTCTTTCGGTTTGGGACGAAGACGTCAAACGCGAAGACGTCGCTGAGGAGCAGCCTGGACCGACTGCGAGAGACGTGGCCTCAGCTCCACCCTAGCAGCGATGGTCTCCAACCTAATAGCAATGGTCTCCTGACGGGTTTTGCACTAGACTGGAAATCTTTGATGTAATCAATTTGTACTCGTATCTACTAGCAACACTGGTAACCCGGAGCGTTTGTTTCACGAGAGCGCTGCAATGTCCCGCCTCAAGTATAATGTCCTGGCTTACTACCCCCAACAAAAGCAACAAGCAAAAGCAAGACATGCGAGTTCTTTGTTACATCTTGTTGCCCCAAGGTCTGACAGACAATGCAACGCAATGTGATATTGTTTGAAGTGGGGTGGGGCTTGAGAGACCGGTTCGGATTCAGAAGTTTGGCATGGTGGCAGTGTAAGGCCTGTAACTCCCATCCACCCTGCAAACCCCAGCCCAGTCAAGTCAGGATTGAGAGGCACTGCTGGGGGTGCGAGCCTCATTTCTGCAAGCTGACCGACGAATTCAGGGCCATTTGAGACAGGATGAAGAACTGGAGGGTCTGAGACGCTACATCAGGATGAGACCATGTTACCAGCTTCAAGCGCACCCCTGTTGCAATTGACCACTTTAACAAACCTCGAAGCCAGTCATTTTTGCGGCTCAAGCCACACATTGCCCGTGTCTAGATTTATCTAACTCGCCATTGTCTGACAAGATTGGGCCACGATTTTCTGCGCGGTATGCAGCGGTATCTTGCAAGACTGCATTGCCCTCCATGACATAGACAAGGAGAGAGAGAGAGAGAGAGAACCTGAGACCTCTAAGACTCTGAGGAGCATTGGAACAGAGCGCGGGGTGTAATCAGTGAAGGCCTAGACTCTAGACAGCAAACAGGATCTTTAGAAAGCAGTGTTATCCACTCTGGACTGCGATGTTTGGCATCAGGAAGAGGAGAAAAACCATCACGATCCGGTGAGAGTTTTGAAAGATAAACAGAGGCTGCTTTGCCATGACCTGCTGCTTTGATTTTCTGGCTCCCATTCTGGCTCCTGGGGAGGAGGTTGGATGACTGGATCGAAATCATGGTGAGACGGAGTGTTGCAATGTTTTACTGCCAATCTCCTTGCGGCGGTTTCCTGGTTTCACTTTGCTCCCATTCAATTACCTCTTGTCAATGGTTTTCGGCATGTTTTGGAGTGTAGTCCAGCAAGTCCTTGTTCCGGACTATGTAACTAGACCATACGTTCGACCTATATATCCTAACTAGACGATGAGAGTCTCAAGACGAAACTGAAACCAACCAGATGAGGATTCTTCGCCTGTCTCCCTCCACACTCGTGGCACCCACTCTCACTCACGGCAGGTTGACGTGATCGTGGTGGGCGCCGGTCTGGCGGGCCTTGCGTGCGCCCTGCGGTTGAAGGATCAAGGGCTAAGACCCGTCATCTTGGAGGCTCGAGCGCTGGTGGGTGGCCGCGCCTCACGGGGGGGCGCTGACTGGGTCCATGGCCAGCATGTGGCTACTTGGCGGTATTTGAAGCCCGGCCAAGGAAGCCCAAAGAAGTCTGCTTTCCTTCGCAATTGTGTTAAGTAAGTGTCTTATGCGTGATGCCGCGATGCCTCTGAAGGGAAAGCCTGGCTGAATCTTTGGGAAAGTGTGGCGTTTTGCCACCCGCAGAGTCTCATTGTATCTCATGTGTTTTCCCGGCTTGGTATGATTGACACAAAGGTGTTCACGACTTGACCCTTGCAGCGGACTTCCTTTTGAGAGCCTAAGGAAACGCTTTAACATGCAAATGGATGGGTCAAGCAATGGGTGGGACAGCAACCTTCCTGGTGGTCCTGAATGTTGGATCTACGTGGATGGGGAACTCCGAGGACCTGATCGGGTCTTTTCCGAGCCGAATCGTTTATTTTTCCAGAAGTTTGATGAGCTCATTGAGATGCTCGGCCGCAACTTGAAGCTTTAAACTTGGGTCTTGAAATTGTGAAGTTGCCGTGCTGGACGGTATTCTGGTAGGCGGCTACTAGCCTTCGCTCCCAGGTAAGAGAAATGTGTTTGACATGGACGACCAGAAATGAAGAGGAAGGAGGGCAGCATTAGCTCTCTAACCACGACCAAGGTTCCTTCATCCCTCTTTGAGAATTCATGTATTGTTATTTTGAATCGAGATCACTAAGCTCCAGAAGCAATGATTGACCACTCATCCATGATGCGTCTCCATGTGACAGTTAGCCGCTAGCCATTGTTGGAGCAATCAGGACGGTACTTTGTGGATCAATTTTGAGCAGTTCTAAAGCAAGAACACACCTTTTGCGGCTGGGCGGGCCAACTCTCAAGGGTGCCTAAATCACCATGGGCTCTAATTCTCCCCCACCTCCAGCTAACTCTTTAGGACTTTAGGCTGCAAGAATGTCAGGGGACAAGAAGACGTGGGGCTGAGCTGCAGCCTGCGATTGTTTGTAATGATAGGCGTGGCAAAAAGAGTAGGGCCCATAGACGGTTCGGATTCCAGACATATATGGGGAAAACAGACACGGACGGGCAGAATTATTCCTGAAACGATGGCTAGTGAGCCGCAGGGAATTGCAAATGTGCGCATTGACATAAGGTGAGCTTTGATCAAGGAGGGGGAAGTATTTGTTTAAATCGCCTCGATTGTTTCAAGGAAATGGATCCAAGATGGCCGAGAGGATGTGAGCATGTCGCAATTAGGAGAACAAGCTTTTGATGTAACACCCACTGTAGATGAGCGTTTGTTGATGGAGGGTATGATGGCTGAATGGCATGCTGCAGATCTGGCAGATGTGGGAGTTTATGAGGATGACCTTTATAGCGAACGTATTCAAGAACTGGCCAAGTCCAGGCCCAGCATCCTCCAGGACGATGGCGACGAAGGACACTGGCGCATCTTGGGTGGGCACCAGGGCCTGGCTGAGAAGATGTCCAAAGGCTTGGATGTTCGATTCACTACGCTGGTGGATGAGATCCGTTGGTCTGGATCCAAGGTCCGTGTGAAGACGAGACCTGCCAACTCCACATCCGCCCCAAACGGATCTCATGTCTTCGCTGCACGCTTCGCGGTGGTCACGGTACCCTTGGCCTGTGTCAATGATATTCGTTTTGAACCCGCCCTACCTGGAAGGAAGCAGATGGCCGTCAATCAGTTGGGCCGAGGAGTGACCACCACAGTCTATTTGAATTTCAAGAAGCGCTTTTGGCCGGAGAAGTTGGCCTTCCTTTTTCACAGCATGTCCTCCCAAGCTTTTTGGCCTGGAAGAAATCAAAACGTTTTGACAGCCTACTTTGGAGGTCGCAGGGCCAACGAAGAATTGTTGAAATTAGACGACATGGCTTTAACTGAAGAGATTCTGCGGCAGTTGGCGGTGATCTTTCGCAAAGATGTGAGCCAAGAAGATTTACGGCAGCTCCTGCTGAAAAGCGAAGTCCGTCGTTGGGACACAGATCCCTTTGCCAAGATGGCCTACTCCTATTGCCCAGTGAACTGCGCTGCTTTACGGGCCGATTTGGCAGAAAGCTGCAGAGCAGAGGGCCGAGGAGCTCTTTTGTTGTGGGCCGGCGAGGCCACGCACCCCACCAAGGCGAGCTTCGCGCATGGAGCACTGGAAGAAGGTGAAAGGGCCGCGGAAGAGATCTTTGAGATCCTGAAGTCCACTGGGTCCATGGTCGGGTAAATCCTTTGAGCAGTGCTTTGCCCTTCAGACACTATTCGCCGCCAGCGGGCAAAGCATGGACCGTCAATGACCCTTCTTTTGTCGTTGTTCCCATTCGCCGTGCGCAGGGTCAAACAAGACCGTTCCCCAACAGGGGTAATGCAGTTTTAAACAGTTTTAATAGAGAACGGGACATGACCTGAAAAATGGGTGATTGAACCATGTTGGATTCCGAATCAATCACTCCCTTCTTCGACATCATCAGCATCACTATCCCGGTGTGCCTGAACGAAACCGTTCTTTCCACGTCCACAACTGGCAGTGCAGATGTATATGATGTATACAGTCAGCATGTTTGAAGCATTTGGATCGTGGTTTAAATACTTTGGTCAACCACTTGGGGTTGTCCCTTTGTTTCCTTTGCTCTTTGTGAGTCACTCTTCACTAAAGATGTTGATGCCGCCCTTCCCAGAGACCGGGGAGCTATACATATAGACGAGATTGAGGCCATGGAGGCGGAGCCGAGTGCGGGGCCAATAGGGCATTCAATCCAAAAGTGTTCGTTTCCAGTGTGCGAATGATTTGTGGATCAGATGTGTACAAGAACTATTGTAGAGTTGTGCATGTGTTTGGCAACCTCCACTTGCCGGCTGGAGACAATAGATTAGACGGTAGTTTGACATAGGCGGTTGACTGTTTTTCTTCTCCAATAATGTTCCAGTTTATTGAATTAATGTGGGCACTCCTTGCAAGTGTCCGGATGCTCATTTGCCAGAGGCCTTTGCAGTCCTCAATTACATGTTGTTGCTATTTTTTGCTCATGGACTCATGGAATGCTTCCATTCATTTCAACGCTGCAATCCTCCGAGCTCCTGAGATCTATGTTTTTGCACCACTTCATTGCGACTGCTCACAAGATACCAAGGTCCCAAGCTTGGGCCAGGCAGGGGTGCACAAAACGATTATAAACGAAATTATGTATTTATATATATATATATACATAATGTATACTAGTCTGTCTATAAAACGAATCCATTTGATCAGCTTTTGATCTTTTTGAATCCTTTGATTTGGCCTTTCTCTTTGTTTCTACGCTTATGGGAGCTTTCGGGTGAGAGTGCCGCGGAATACAGGCAGAGACTTTTGACATCGCTTGTTTTAGGGTGAACAGTCTAATTGTTTGTTCTGTTCATTTCTGGTCCTTTTTTTTTGGGTTCTTTCTACGAGTACTAAGGCCAGGAGCTACGTTCGTAGCGTCCGATCGCTCCTAATAGCGATGCCCGTTGTTCCGTGCGTAGCTGCTTTTAATCCGTTTCTCTTTCGTGTTTGACTGACTCATGGTCCACCGTCCAAGGTTTGCGAAGCGAGGTGGGGACCCATTGCTCCGTGTCCAGAGGAGGCTTCCTGGGAGCCTGACTGAATGGTCAGTTGTCCTGACCAAAACAGACAGAGACCCCAAGAAACCGCAGTCTACCTAGGTCTACACATTGTGTAATGTGCGTGATGTCTCCAGGATGAACCCAAAGGCCAAAGTTATTTCTTGCTTGGTCGAACACTTGGCTTTTCCAACCAGGTTCTTCAAGAAGCTTCACGCATTGCACTGGTGAAAGCTGCTCAGATTTGCCATGGCCTCAATTCCTAATTTATGGTCCTAATTATGTCCTATTCATATCATCTATATAGCCACCATATCATTGTCAGTTCCACACTTGAATTGAGAGATCAAGAGGCTGAGTGGTGTTATTCGTGGTGCGCGTGCTGACTTCATGTTTTCAAGGTAGACTGAACCGTTCTCGAGTGGACAGTGTGGCGGACTGAGCCCCCTCGGCAGACATGTTCGTCGATGTTTAGGAGCGATCGGACGCTACGAAGGTAGCTCCTGGCCTTACTACTAGGAGCAAGAAGCTACTAGTAGCAAGGGCATCGCTACTAGTAACAAGAAGCTACTAGCGATGGCCATGGCCTCCCCAGAGGGCTGCAAGCGTGAGTTTCTCAGGGTAGCGATGCGAGCACCATTGCCAGTGACGGTCAGTGCCTCAAGCCCTCGGCAACACATGGCATCACACTTGTACATGGACGTATTTGAGGCGATGACGATTGCAGGGTGCCAATGACTTAGGGGGGGTTGGGAACAGTCGAGTTTTGTTTTGATTGTTGCCCTGTCTCTTTGAGGAGTAGTCAGGGTGGAGCTTGGGGATCAATTGAAATCAGTCTTTGTATGCGACGTGACGACGTGTAATCCATCAAGGATTTCCGTTTCAGTGGAAGCATGGGAGAATGCGAAGGATGTAGCGTTGGACTTCGGCTCCAGCTCTTCCAAAAACAAACGCTTGGTAGTCATCCTTGAAGCCACCGTTGGGCCGGTTTCGAAGCCATCCAAGGAAAGTCATAACTCACTGCTTCGATCCAAATGCACGGCCGCCGGCATCTAAGATCTGACACGTTCTTCGCTGTTCCGAGATCAGACATGTTGCCTCTTCCTGCAGGCTGCCGCACCCCATGAACTTCATGGGTGAGCCCTGCAACTTGGAGGAACCCACTGCGCCGACCACCACAAAGAGAGATGTTATTTGGCGTCCAAGATGAAGCTGGCATCAGAGATTTTTCGCAAGAGATACACACTACATATGTAACTGAAGATGCTGCTGGGTTCAGCAAGGATGTCGGCATAGTGTCCTTGCGCTAAAAGGCCTTTTTGACATGGCGCGCAGGTTGGGATCAAGAAGCGGGAAGAGCTTCTGCAGCACGTGACACCACAAAACCACCATAGAACATCACGGGGAGGTCGCATGAGACAACCCTTGTTGTCTCCAAAAGCATCCATTGCATTCTTTTCTCGATCTTCTTAACACGGTTAAGACAGAACATGGCCGTTGATCGGGGCGATGTCCCTGGAGGCCGGGTCAAGGAAGCGAAGGTGAAAAAGGAATCAAAAGGACTCGTGGTTACTAGTAGTAAGGCACTTGTTACTACTAGTAAGGCACCTGTTCCTACTAGTGGCACTTGTTACTAGTAGCTTCTAATTAAGTTCTTTTTGTTACTAGTAGTAAGGCACTTGTTTCTAATAGCTTCTTGTTACTACTAGTAAGGCACCTGTTACTAGTAGCGTGGCACTTGTTACTACAACTGGGGACTCATTGGATTAAAGAGTTCAACTGTTTGGACTGAAGGGTTTGTGAGGATGGGTAGTTTCTCCAGACTGGACCGCATCGATTCTACTACCGGTGACGGTGACGGTGAGTCGTGCGCACGCAAAGACATTGGCTTCCTGGCAGAAGTGCTCGGCAACATGGGAGGCCTCCTACATTTGGATTTGTCTCCACAGCCACCGCGACCCTGGGACTTTTTCAGCCGGATTGAATGTGCAAGAGAAATGCACGGGAGTTGACTCTGACGGAGGCATAGCACCCTATTTGGCTCTTTGAGTTTGGTCACTGAGGCATAGCACCTCAAGCAGCAGTCAGCTGCTCAGCAACAGCCAACGGATGCCAAGGAACCACTATTGCACGTACTGCAATTCTGACCCCAAGTCCGTTGATCTCTCTGAGGTCCGTAGGCGTCCATCGGTCTGGCAGAGCCTCAATAAGCCAATGAATATGTGCGACAAGATCGTGCTCTTCTTGGGGGCTTTGATGAGCTCATCGCTCTTTGCCTTTCATCACATGATCCCGAGCCCCTGGGATCTCGTCTATGTCGTCCTGGGCTGCTTGATGATGCCCGCCACCAAGCTGCACAGAAGATGGAGATCCCTGAGATCCCCCATTCCTTGAAGGCATGCAGTGGCCCATACCAAAAGTGATGGAAGTTGTATCACCCTTGGCGCCAGCGACATGTGCAATCTAGCAGTCAGGGTTAGGGAAAAACGCTTTTGGAATGCTACTACTACGTGGTTTGGAGAGGGAGATTGTTGGAAGGCGCAGGTCTTTTGCAGGTGTGCACGCACTTGGCGGGGTCATACCTGTTCATGAGATCACGTTCCAGGCAACATTTTTCTTGGAGGCCATGCCTCTTAGGTTGGAGGCCACCGCTCATAGGTTGCAGGCCATCGCTCTTAGGTTGCAGGCCATCGCTCTTAGGTTGGAGGCCATGCCTCTTAGGTTGGAGGCCATGCCTCTTAGGTTGGAGGCCATGCCTCTTAGGTTGGAGGCCATCGCTCTTAGGTTGGAGGTCATCGCTCTTAAGTTGGAGGCCATCGCTCTTAGGTTGCAGGCCATCGCTCATAGGTTGCAGGCCATCGCTCTTAGGTTGCAGGCCATCGCTCTTAGGTTGGAGGCCATCGCCATCAGGTTCTTGAGTTCACGTTGCAGGCAATATTTTTCTTGATCCTGATGCGACACGTGCCTCACAAGAGCGAGGAGAAGTACCATGTGAGCCGGGTTTGGGCGCGAACCGCCTATGATGCGGACATTGCACATCGAACTTTGGTAACTTGTCACTGTAAGGCTGAGCCATGCTAAGACAAACGTTTTTGTTTAATGTATGGTGAATGAGCCCACTGAGCCCAGTCCCGCAGTTCTCAAGCTTCCACTTGTTAGGGTCCACCCGACCTGCAACATCATCCTTTGGGATGTGAGTGCAAATGGTGTAGCCGAACACTTCTAGCAGCATCACAAGAGAGTCGTGCTCCTTGGTCCCCTGAGCATCGAAGCCCCTCAGTGGCTCACCATGATGTCCGCTTGAGTGAGTGGGCTCATTCACAATACATTATAGCAAAAGGAACCTACTAGCGATGGCCTCCAACCTACTAGCTTGAGAGATTAAGATTATTGAGGAATTCTTGTTTCTCATGTGAGAAAAAACACCAGTATACTCAATCCACATGGACAGCCTTTGGACTCGCTCCACCGCTTGAGACCTGGACCACAGACACGCGCACCGAGGCCATCTCCCGCGTACGAATCGCTGGGACCAAAGGCGGCAAAGGAATGATCCAGGATGTGGGGCTCATTGGGGAGCAGTGCGCTGTTGAGTGCAGCACCACCAACTGCGTTTGTTGCCTCACAGACGCTTGGGCATGTGGGCTTCCTGCCGTTCGGTGAAGTGTAGTTCGATGCCTCACGACCAAATGCTTTGGCAACTGCTTGCCAACCCGGGTTTTGACGGGATCGAACCCAACTGCCATGCCCTTTGCAGTCTTTGCAGTCTTTGCAGTGGGCCTGGCGGGTTCCCTGAAATAGTGATGCGGTTTCATGCACTGGTTCCTTTTCAATTGACTATATTTATAGAATATATTCAGTGTTTGTTCGAGATCATCAACCTATTGCCTATTATTTGTTTGAGAGGGCTAACACGTCGCAGAAGACAGTCCCAAGGAGGGCGTGGTTTCAACATGTTTCAACCTTTTGAAGGCAGTCAGTCAATTTTTGGCGTATCTCTCAAGTTTTCCTTCTCATATGCTTCAAAAGGCATGGTTTGCTCAAATTTCGTTCATAAAGGCTGTGTATCTACCAGCAAGGGGGATGTGTTCACACTCAAGCTTGGTTCGCTGATTTGGAGTTGCATTTTTCAGGTGGCAGAATGCTAGCCAACGTGGGTCCCACGACTACGATCTGGTCTTGGACATCTGATTATATAGCGTGCATAACTTTCCGTTTCTGTCAATCTATGGTCTTACAGCTGTCCGGCCCAAAGACACAGCAGATTACACATGGTACCTTTTTTGGGTCGCACCAGGTGACAAAACATCTTTGGCTGGTGTATCACATGCGAATGCCAATTGAGAAAGGCGTCTAGATTGCCGTCATTCAGCGGAAGCTCATCAACAAAAAAGAACGTTGAGAACTTCTATTCACAACTTCGTTCCTTACTCCACACACCAAGTCCACTGGGACTGCCATGTGGTTCTGGGTCGATGGCCTTCCACCGAAGTGCCCTGACGGTGAAATCACAGTGGCTTGCGCTCCTACTGTCGGGTGAAAAGACCTGGGAGATCCGGACCAAGAATTGTCGAGTGCGAGGGGATGTTGCAGTGATGGCCAGTGGCAGCAGTTTCGTTTATGGCTTTGTGGAGTGTCCCGGCAATGGCATTTTCACATTCAATAATCCCAAGTAACAAACTCACAACAAGAAACTGCATGTCGGACACTCCTAAATACAGTTTCCCAAGTAATATTTTCCATTGTTGTTTTTTGATACCTCGCACCCACAGCCATGTTGGATGCTTTCCTCGCTGCCAAGGGAAAAATGGACTGCGAAGGGTCAGAGCTGAGCTTTGCTCGGCGATTGTGGTTTTTGCAAGTTTTTGTTGGACGATATGCATGTTGCGCACAATTTTTTCCAATCCCATATGCTTAGTTGTAGGTAAGCCCCGTGCTGCGGGAAGGGTCAGGCAAGCATTGATTCTGGCTTTTAAACGCCCTTCCCCCCAAGCCAGTAACTTACTTCCGGAAAAGCGCAAACTTGCAGCTTACTAGTCGCAAACGTCGTTTTTCACATCACTGTGATGACGCAATTGATTACGTTGAACTCACTTCGATGAGTTCACTATGACAGCCATGGGGCGATCAATCCGATCAAGAACCATGGGGCGAACGCCAGCCTGACCTCTCTGCGCAGATTGCCCATCGTCTAAGCAAGCAAGGACTTCACTCTATGCAACTGTGCCGGTCAAGAAAAAACCCAAAGGTTGGTGAGAAATATGAGCCCCCAGATGAAGGCATGCCCTGCGCGTTTCCGTAGAAGCCCCAGCTTCGGCGGTGGCGAGCTGCCAGGCAAGGCACAGAAAGGTCCCGAAGAAGGAATGGCATGACCGTGTGAAGAGTAGTGCACAGGGCAACTGTTTGCTTGAAACAAGTGGACAAAGTCTCGCTGCCACCATTTCCTACCTCAAACGGCATTCCAGTTGTTATGAGCCGTGGTGGAACAATTTGGTTCCGGAGTCTTCGCTCGCGTCCTTCTCCACCTATATAGTTCGTCCTCCTCAACGCGCCTGGAGCATGGGCAGGGTGGATGGAAACTGTGGTGGCGGCTGCTGCACACTACGAAAAAGCCTTTCTCATTTTGGGTCCAGAATTTTTGCACCTTGAAGTCAAATACAACACCTCTAGAAGCAAGGGTTTTTCTGTTTGTGGCATCGAGACGGCCAATATTGTTCTGTTGCTAGCCTCTCTCTCTGTCTCTCTGCTAAATTTTGCTGTCCTGTGTGGCACTCTCTTCTTCCCAGTCTCTTCTTTCCTGTCTCGTCTTCCCATCCTCTGTGCAGTTGAAGAGGAGGAGGAGGGGGAGGAGGAGGAGGACTGGGACAGCTTTGATAAAATCAGAAAATCTAAAATTCCATTAAGCCTCACCTGGCAGGTGGGGAAATACATGGAAATACCTACGTTCGTACGTTACTGTCACTGTTAAAGTAAGGAATTTAGTTTAGGCTTATATTTCAAACCTGACATATAATCAAAAAGTCGTTTGGGGGTGTCCGACATGGGGTTTCTATATGGTAGTGTTTACAATGTACTCGGGATTGTTTTGGGACTCCTACTTAAGAAAACAACGCCAAAGTCCTTTAGGAGAGGGAACCTCGGTTTCATAGGTGGAAG